TCACCGAGCAACGGAGGTTTATAAATAGAACGGACATGAATACGACTGCGGTTTTATGTGACACATTCATCGCGAGCACGTGGATTCCCTAACATAGAACAAGAATTGATAATATAAGTTTACATTAAAGATTACATTTACTAGTTTGATTAAGATTAAATTTATTTATTTTACTCTGTTAGTGTATTTTTTGCTTACTGTATTTATTTTTAAATTTTGAAAGCTATTTTCGGTGCAATATATAAATCTCTATTTAAATCCAATTTATTTTATATACGAGTATGTGATTAATGAAATTTGTACACTGTTTTCGTTTACTGTACATGATGATTAGTTAATTAACAATCAAAGCAAACTAAATGTTAGTTTTACTTAACAACTTTACAAGAATAACAATTCAACAAAATATTTCCCAGAGCGTACATCCTTAATTCTAGTGAATTTATACCTCTCCTGAAATATATTTAATACTATTATTATGTACTACCTATTTATTTTATTTATTTATTAATTACTAGAAATTTACAGCGCGAGTACATTGGACCCCGCACTAGGCGAATCTGTACCGCAGGAGTCCATAAGAGATTACCAAGACATGGTGATTTACAAATATAAATTATAAATTAGTGAGCAAATTTACCTATTACCCGCGATATCGTTCGTGTGACCTTGATATATTCACTGACCAGGGTAAAAAGTAGCCTATATACTTTTCCATCTCAAATAGAACGTGTGTATCAAATTGCATAGTGATTGGTTCATGCCATATAATATTAGTAAAGATGACCTACTGTTACACTTAACATTTTAATTTCCCTACTACATAGCCGTTCTATTTTTGATTCCGCGTGCAAAACGCTAATGGATTGCGAACCCTACTCTTGCAGTTCTAATGATGTATGGATATGCTCTGTTTGTCTTATGAATGGCATGGAATATATTGTAACGTTGTTATCAATAGCAAAGTAAAAGCTTTTCTCGAATCGAATATCCCTGGACTCGTATTGAGATAAAATTTATATTGTTGTGAGTGAATGATTTTTGTTTATTTATTGTAAATAATAATAACTAAGAATATAGATAGATAATAGTACTGAAATTAATGTAATCTAGAGGTTCCTATTATTACAAAAGAATCAAAATTTTCGGATATTTTGTTTTATACCACTGAGGTGACAAACAAGCATACGGACTACCTGATGATAAGCGTAGCCCATGAACGCCTGCAATACCAGGCACATTACGCGCGTATTGTCGACTTTGAAGAAAACTCTTTACCCCCTTTTTTGAAAAGCCGTACTGTAGTCTTTTGAAACAAAAAAACATGTTTTTTTTAATAATATTTTATATTTCAACGTGAATATTATAAGAGTTCCAAGACTACAGTTACCGTTTACCATCATAGATGCGGATTAATGATGGTATGTGTATATTCCACTATGTCAAACTGTTGATCACCATTTTATATAAAAACAAATATCGAGTTCACTGACAGGTTACCTAACTTAGCACATACGGGAAGGCCAAAAAAAACCGATGGTCCACCTAATGGAATGTGATATAATTATGGTCAACTTTACGGAATACACTTTTTTAATAAACTATGTCGGCCATGGTAACCCTGATGGAGTGTTATTCTTGAGTACTCAGTTGTTATCTAGTAATTTCTATGGAAATAATCTTTATTCTAAACACTAGGAAAGGTCGAAAACATTGTTTTGTATAGTACCTTTGTGCTAAACTTGACGTAACATCCAGGACTTATTTAGGTTGTTAATACACTGAACCAATTGCTCCACCGTCCCTAGAGCTATGAAAAACAAAAGTCTATTACAAACAAAGAACTGGCATGAAAGGTTAAATATTGTAAAAGTTTGAATAAGGAACGGAAGTTTGCCACTGAATAGATGTGCCATAATTTGTCACGTATACAGAGTGTTTCTGCGATTCATATAAATAAAAAAAAATATATATAAATCTGTTATAATAATATCAACCCCTGTTTGCTCTGCAGTTTATAATAATTGAAAATAAAAAAAAAAACACAACAACCTATACTACCGATGATCAACAAATTTTAATATCCACAAATTAAAATATTGAATTAGATCTAAAATAAGAAAAGTTTCCAGAATTTTTGAATCTTGTAAAAAAAGTTGTTTAAGATTTTATAAACAAACATTATAATATTGTGTATATATATATATATATATATATATATATATATATATATATATATATATATATATATATATATATATATATATATATATATATATATATAAATATAAAATATTTCAAAGAATTATAGATATAAAAATTTATGTATGCACACCAAATTATCCCTCGTAATTCAAAGTTTCATAAATAAATAAACGTAGGTCTACTCCTAATAATATCCTAAAATAGGTAATCCAATAAAAACATTTATAGACCATTATTGTCGACAAATACTTCAATAACAAATATGTATATGTTATTATGAAAACATTCACATCCTGTATAGCATAGTTTACCTAGTCAGAAAATATTATTACTACCAACTTGCCTTTTATCTCCCTCTATTTGGGAGGCAAAACAAAGCTATTACAAGAATTCGGCAATCGCTAGATATTCGTCGGATATAAAACTTGATGGCACACTTATAGCATTAATGAGGTTATAAAACTTTTAGACTACAGTACTACACCATCTCGATTACTAGTTCCCATCACAGAGATATCTTTATCGGTTTTAGAGTTATTAAAAAAATATTATATATTCCTTCAATTATTATTCACGTGAATTTCGATATACTACGCGATTTTTTTTTTATATTATTATAGTACCACATCATTCTGGAACCACCAAGAATCGTAACTGAAAAGATAATTATTAATTATTTACTCTCAATTGTTGATCGCACTATACCGGTCCACTAAGTGCTTTTCACACGTCTTCAAAAATAAGTATACGTGATATGTATATATATAGATAGATATAGATAAATAGATACTCTTTATTGTTTCCTCCAAAAGATTACAATAGTAAACTTATTATAAATATAATATATAACTTATAATACCTAATTACAAGAAATAATTACAATGAGAAAACAATGGGCGACTTTATCGCTAAGAGCAATCTCTTCCAAGCAACCTTTGGATGGAGAGAAGTAATTATATATATATATATATATATATATATATATATATATATATATATATATATATATATATATATATATATATATATATATATATATATATATATATATTCTTCGTGATAACAGAGTAAAGAGAATAACAGAGTAGAGTACAATGTATCACCGCTAACCTATCATCTCAAAGACATCATAAAATCTGTGGGAATAATGCAAAAGAAAAAATATTCGAAATAAAACCACCAAACTATCTCGCTACCACGGTTATGATAGAGTAATATCTTCTTATATCTTCCTAGTGTCCAGCAGTGGGATAGTATAGTATTATATACAATAATAAGATAGGTAACATTATTAGTAGTCGTATTTTATTAATATGTATTTAACATGGATTTCTCTACAATTGTTTTAATTTAGTTCTTATTTATCAATAAGTAACTGACAGTAGCAGACTAGCTCCATGTCACGGGCTTATCAAATTTTGGATTAAATAATACCAGTCTACAAATACTTCTGACTACTCAATTTGGAACTATAGTCGTGAGGATATTTATTTATTTTATTGCAGCAATTAAAAGATGTGGATGCATTCTTGCTCCATCTAGATAGAAATACAAAACGTTACATGAATTTTATGTTAAAATATTTTAAATTTTATTAAAGTTTTTCTTCTTGCTAGCTGGAAATTGTACACTCTATAAACGTACATATAGCAATTAGATTGAATTTCGAAAGATAACTTCGTTCTCTTTGAAGAATTGGAAAAGAATTGTATACTATAAAAATATTTTACAACCAGCCCACAAAAAATAGAGCAATGTGTTTAACATTTTAAAAACTGTTGTACAAGCTTACTTGTACAGCCAATAGATTTGAGATCTAAACAATAGTAAATCCTGTCAATATTCCAAAGTTGGTTTTTAATTATTGTATAAAAATATAGAAGTATGTAAAAAAAATAACTAACATATATTATTATACTTTTAATGTAGTAACTACCAGTTCAACTTACGTGTAATTAGATCGAGAAAGCTCAATTAGTTTTTGGATCAATTCATAATCCTTAATCATAAGCAGCTGTAACGCGCCTCGACTCGCTGAGCTTTCTCGATCTAATTACATGTAAGTTAAACCGATTGTTGTTACATTAAAATATAATGTATATTTACGAAACTTTTTTAAAATATAAAATTATTATAATATTCTTGCTTATAGTCAAATTATAATACCAAATATATAACAAATAAATGCGCATAAATAATAAAAATAACTATGTATATTTTTGCGAAAAAATCTAAATATGCAAATTTTGCAACTCCTATGATTTCAACTCTATATTTATTCATTTGATTTGGAATACACAACAGATAACAATAAAAAATGTAATAAATAATGGTACCTCTGTCTCATTCGTGTTTCAACCGTGAAACAGTTGTGTTTGCATGGCTGTGTTTCGGTTTGAAGGGTGGGATATAGCGTGAATTTACTGGGTACAGAGGAATAACACCTGAGTCCCCAGGAATGGCAACGCATGGGGGGTATCATGGACGTAACAGTATACTCTGTTATGTCAATGGTACTGCTCATGTCTATAGGCGACGGTTACCACTTTCCATCAGGTGGGCCGTCAGCTTATTTGCCATTCTAAGTTGTATAAAAAAAAATTACATGATTAATTATAGACATACAAGACATTGGACAAGATTGATACCCTAAAACTTGTTAACACAACATGAAAGATATGCGATTTAATTAAAGTTAGCAATGACAACTATTATATATATGTACAACAAGCATGCATATAGATATGCAGTTTATTACTAATATTAATATTTATGACTTTTTTTTTTATTTTCAGTTATTCGGCGTATCTATATTCGCTCTTTGTCTATGGATCTGCTTCGAGCCTGGCTTCAACGAATGGATGAGGATCTTGGAGCTCCAAAAATACTTTATCGGGGTGTACATCATTCTAATCGGCTCATTGATCGTAATGGTGGTGTCTTTCATCGGTTGCGGTGCAGCTATTACGGAAAACACTACGATTTTACTTGCGGTAAATATTTTATTTACATATAGATTACATCATCATCATCATCATCTTCCTACCCTTATCCTAATTATTATTTGGGGTCGAAGTAATACATTTTTATCCATATTACTAAAAGATTTGGCTTATAATTTTACGATCGGCCGCCTGCCTGACGTCAACACTCTTTGGGAATCTTTGAGAAAAGTACATATAGATTACATATTTGTTGTAATAATAATTTCATAAAATATGAAATTGATTTAGAACTAGAGTTATGAAGTAACAAATGTAAAAAAAAACGTATTCGAATTGAGAACGATATTCTTTTTGAAGTCAGCTGAAAATGATATGGGAACCCCACCTGCGCTACCAGTATACGTTGGCGGGGTACCAGTGAGAGATGATAGGTGAAGATGAAAGCAGCTCACTCCCATCGTAATAAATTCAACAAGAAATAAAGCACGACGGTCTCCAAAGAAAAACTACGTGGAGATCGACCTGATATTACTACAATACCCATTACCAACAATCCTTTCCCCCCAAAAGTTGATATTAATTACGTAATGAATACACGAGTCAAATTTATATGTATACACTACACATATATTTACATCTAATCTAATTTCCATCCACCTACTAAGGCGTACGTGGACTAGCTGAGATTAACCTACGTTAATTACATTACTAGTATGTACGTCTGTAAATAGTGTTACAAAATTATTTCAGAGGTGTATTTGATTAAATTTATCAAAATTCCACATGTAATTGTCTGGGTTGTTTGACTAGTTTCTAAATTTAATTGAAAATATTTCATTTCAGCACCACATAACACTGTGTTTATAAATTTTATCATTTAAAATAGAAATAATATATGATCATTTACTTAAAATTATTTTGAAATTTTGACCAGGTTCGACATGGCCACGTGATTGTTGATCCGACTGACAGAAGAGTCAAATAAATATTTATACTCATAATTTAAGTAAACAATTACACAATGATTATGTTAATTCTCTTCTCTTACAAGTACACATTATAAATACAACAAATGCAACGGAAAACACAAAAAATAAAAAAAATTTTAAATAAACAGTATGGATGTGAAAGCTAATTTGTCAACCGATTTCGAAAATATGGAGGTTTTTGTTATATTTATGTTTGTTGCCTCATAACTCTGTTAGTTATGAATCGATTCGGAAAATCCTTTTTTTATCTGAAATGATATCGTATCTTATATTTTATTTGCGTATGGGGTCAGCTAAGCCGCTGCACATTGACATTGACCCATTGGGATCTGAAAGGATATACTTACAAATTATTTCCATAGAAATGTTATCAAAATTGATTCAGTGGTTTACTTTTAAAATCAAATTAATTTTGCCACAATTGAAGTCTATTTTTTTTTGTTGAACATAATTTTAAACCATTTATTTGTTCATTTGTTATGTCGTGGCGCCTTAACAGCTCAACCGATTGTCATAAAGTTTAGTATACACGCAGTTTAGGATAATGAAGTACATTGACTACTTTTACGATTAGACAGACAAAGTCACCGGTAATTACACTTATTACATAATTTTTTTTTTATATTGACATGTATTTTTTTTTATTATTTACAGTATATTGGCACCCAAATAGCAACTTTCGTTTTTGGTCTAATTGGATCTTGCGTAGTTCTCGATTTCTCCACATACGATTCCAGTATACAGCCTCTTATCAAAGACATTATCATGAGGCTGATCCACAATCCCCAACACGAAGGGAGCAAGTTTATCTTAAGAATGGTTCAGGAAGGGGTAAGTTGTATTTATTATCACGCTGATCTACATCAGACTACATACATAGAACACTAGCTAGTCTATATTTACATACAGATTAGTTAGTGTTGTATCTACCTAATTAAAGAAAATACTATAAATAATTTAATACTTTAAAAATCGCAATAAAATATTTTGTAGTTTTAAAATCTAATATTGTTTTGGTTTTCAGTAAGTTCTATAGGTAAGTCTTAAATTTTGCTTATTTATTGTATTCAAATATGTTTGCCTACTTCATTATAAGTAAACAGAGCGAGTGTGTTTTAAGAATCTTTTGTTTGGAAAATCCTTTGTGTTCACTTTCAAAGTCCACAATAAATTGAAACGCCACTCCCTCTGTATTCAATTTTCCACAGTGGACATTTACTCATATACTTAACTGTCTAATCTAATCTTTTATTTATTATATCGACGACGTCCCTAAATTCTTTCAGTCCAAAATTTAATTCGTAATGGCGTTACGAGTAACCAATTCAATTACTTACTGTCTAGATAGGAAGATTATTTTCGAAAATGAGGTTCGATGAGATCAAAGAGAACCTGATAATTTTGGTAAATTGATAATAGGTTACAAAAATCAAAATTACCCTTATGTTATCCAACCTCATAGGAACGAAGCGCAAAGATGAAGATGATAGGTGCTTTTACAAAAAAAGTAACGTTTGATTTTTTTAATCAAATGTATAAGGATTTCCCCTGATTGCTCAAAGCAATTATGTTGTTCACGTCTATAGACAATGGTACCATTTTCCATCAGGTGGATCGTGGGCCACCACTTTATTCGGTACTCCAAATTAAAGTAAAAAAAGTGTTTTTAAATAAATTTAACGAAGTATACATGTTACTGTAAAAGCCCGCACATTGGTAAATCTTTTCCAGTAAAGTCCTTAAAGTTTTTCCAGTAAAACTTAGGATTTACTGAAGTAATTGTGAGGATTTTATAAAAACATGATCATTTTTGTATCGTTACCCAAACCGTTTTACAGTAACATGTATAAGATATGAGAGTTTCAGGCATGTTCCACGTGGATACTCCCTTCACATATTCTATCGTGAAGATTTTGTTATAGTTACATAGTTATATTTTTAAAAATATACTACACCAATCATACTAACGTTCTATTTACGAAAACCGGTAACTATCTCACGTCGACATGCAAAAAATTATAAATTTACATACATACGGCTACGACATTCCTAATATGTTGCCAGAAATCTTAATGCCTAATTAATATTGTGAATATTATTATATGTAAAGATGTTTAAATATTTTGTAATAAAATCTAAAACAAACGTGCGTGTTAATTGATAAAGACATAATATAAAATAAAAAAACAATTTACAGTCTTAAGTGAAACAAAAACCTATGCGCTGTTGATACTACCAATTACTGTTTTGTACATAAAAGTATCGTAGCAAACAGAATTTTTTCTAAGTGCATTGTGCTTGCTAATATTTCCCACAAAGACAATTTAACTAATTTCTTATCTATCATCTACTGGCAACTACTAGCAAAACTCTCCTTATGGGAAAGGCTTATATTTAGCAGTGGATAATTAACAGCTGAAATAATAATAACCTATCGAACTTGATATATCATGCCAATTAACAATCTCGACAGTCTACGAAGATTTGCCATGAAACCAGCTCATATTAAACACAGTATCGACTCTGAGAGTTTATGATTGGAGCTGTGTTCAATCGGACACAGTACGTGCCACACGAGGCCATTTGATTAGTACCACTGTGCCGAATATTCGACCCGGAATACGTCTGTTCTATTAGGGTTGTAAGACAATGATTTTCCTTTTACTATGTTAAATTTTATAAATTTTAGAGATGCACTTCATGACTTATGATTTATAGAAGACGTAAATTAATACGATCATTTAAATAGAATATTATCAATTTACCGTAGGGTTGTCGTTACTATATATGTATTCCACAAAATAATTTGCTTTAGGAGTCTATTCAAGAACATCATAGTCTGCAAGGTAGGAAAAATGTCTTCATCATTACGAATCACAAAACACTTTGGATCTGTGTTCGTTATGAACATAGCTAAATAGTAATATTCTCTTGATCTCTATATTCCAAAGTTTTATCTGAAACTCTTTAAAACAAATTACTTTCATCACTCACTGGGTATTATCACTTACTTAAAATATGAGTATTGCTTACCTAAACTCCACGAACGTACAACTGAAAAGGTCAGTAACCTTTCATCCCTCGTCTAAAGTTACCACTGTCCGCCTGACAGGCATAATGTACATACTTTCACATATAACCCATACAGTGGGAACCACAAACAAGTCTGTTAATAAAAGTCGGGGGAAAAATTTATTCATATTCTGAAACGTATTGATGTCGTTTTACAGCGTTGTTTAGTATTTACGAGTATAATGTATATAATTTACATATATTATACTCATAAAGATACATAAAAATAGAAATTAATATATGGAATCTCAATATAGAAATAACTATAGGGAACCTAACATGACTACTCATGTTTACATAACCTATAGAGTAAGCAAAGAGTTTCTCATATATAATTAGATGGTAATTTTTATATAATTTAACAAATAGGAATTAGGAATGTAATATTGAATTATTATCCACATAATTTAGTTTATAAATTAATAAATGAATTAGAAATAAATGAAACTAAAATACTTATGTGGAGATTCCAAAATATATTAGCCCAATAACATTAAATATCGTCATCTGTATATATAATACTGAAATATCTGAAATGAAGAACCCGATCTAAATTAATATAGCTATTAGATGAGTATGGACGATAACGAAATGGATGATGATCTATTTTTTCTCCATCAATGTCCAGATACCCAATATATAGGTATCAGAGAGATACCGAGATTACCTAAGCCTAATTGAAAGAGTTATTTTGACTAAGTTGGACAAAGCGACTTAGTACGTGCAGTACATACATAAATCGAATATGTGCGCTGTATAATTCTATATCCATTATTGTAAGGATTGCATCTGGTCTTCTATCACACGAATCATCATATCGTCATCATTTGTCCACTGCTGAACATAGGACTTTCTCATAGACTGCCATAAAGGATGGTCCTAGACGACTTGTATCACGCGAATAATTTAGATAAATAAGTACCTTCATAATGAATCGATCAATACTACTATAAAATCAGATATTTTAATAAAACAATATTGAAATCGTTTAAAATATTCTAAAATAAGTTATTAAATTTCTAAAATTAATAAGCTAATGATTTTTAACATGATCAAATTATAATTTAATTATTATTTTTAATGAAACTAAAAATAATCTGATGAAAAGGTTATCATATAAATTGCTTGAATACATTATTTGCGATTGCATTAATCACTTGACAACCCTATATTCTCTGTAAACGACAGCTTCGACGCCATTTGTCCATTCTACAAATGCGTTTTGGTGTTTGCTTCGTTAGATGTGACCCGTTTCTTGTTTCCCTTTTTCATGAATAGTTTGTCGAAAGGAAACAAAATATAGAAATTTTTACATGTAAAAAAAAATATTCTTCAATTAAAATAGAATGAAAGATCAAACGTTTGTCATTGAAATAAATAGATCGTAAATAATAAGAATCCCTCATTAAATTAAATTGAAAATAATTACTGTTATATTTTTTTTATGTAACTTAGAATGACAAACAAGCTGACGGCCCACCTGATGGAAACCGTCGCCTATAGACATGAATAGCACCATGGATATAACTGAGTATACTGTTTCGCCCATGATACCCCCATGCGTTGCCATTCCTGAGAGCTAAGGTGTTATTCCTTTGTATCCTGTAAATTCACGCCATATACCACCCTTCAAACCGAAACACAGCCATGCAAACACATCTGCTTCACAGTAGAAATACGAATAGGACAGAGGTACCCAAGCAAATAACTATAATATATATATATATATATATATATATATATATATATATATATATATATATATATATATATATATATATATATATATATATATAGTATATATATATATATATATATATATATATATATGTATATATATATATATATAGTATATATATAGTAAACAAAATTGAGTACAACCATCTATTTAGCATAACCAAAAAATCATATATAAATCCAGTAAAATGACCCTAATATAAAAAAAAATCGTATATTTTTCAAATATCATAGTACTTACAAATTATATAGTATTTTTATAATAGTTATTACAAAAATACTTTATTACTCAAGATACGCGCACCCATACCTCGGAAAACGCGTAGACATCTTTACAAACTATCAATTATATAATAATCATCAGCCTTCCCCATAAAGGGAGCTTTGTCAGTAGTTGCCACGCTTGGCCGGCAGGTTGGTAACAGCAGTTAGTCTTTGGTGATGTTTTAAGGAATGTAACCCGGCTGCCCATAAAGTTCTTTAAATCGGCTACGAGAAAACAAGGGATACCCATTCTATGCCAGAACTGTACGGCAATTTTGTATTACTAGTAGGATAATAAAAATTAATAAGTATTAGTAGCATTTATTTAGCTCCAATTTTCGCAGATTGGCTGCTGTGGTGCTGACGGCCCCATGGACTACATCAACTATAACAAACCACTTCCATCAGAGTGCCGTGATTCCGTAACCGGGAACGCATACTTCCATGGCTGCATTGATGAGATGACCTGGTACCTCGAAGGAAAGACTGGATGGTTGGCTGGCATCGTGCTCGCCTCTTGCATGATTTCTGTAAGTTTTAAGTATAATATAGTAAACTATAGATAGAGAGAGGCATTGTACAAAACTTGTATACAGAATTACCTCTGTCCTTCTTCGTATATTTCAACTGTGAAATAACTATTTTTGCTTAGTTATGTTTCGGTTTCAGTGATAGAATATGGCAGTGACATATAAGCAATGACATACAGAAACGGTCCATAAATGTCATAGTGTATTTGTGATATCCATGGTACTATTCATGTCTATAGGCAACGGTTAACATTTTCCATCAGATAGGCTGTCAGTTGGCTCAAAACTGTTTACCTTACACCTAAGTTACATAAAAAACAATAGTTTTTTGTATACTTTTGCAATTTGATATACTGCAGTGTCATCTAGTGATTGCTTATTGAGTAAAATAATAATCTCAGCAAATATATATATATATATATATATATATATATATATATATATATATTATATAATATAATTTGATTAATTTTTTACAGGTAATCAACGCTGTCATGTCTCTGATCCTTATTCAAGCAGTGAATAAAGAAAAGGAGATCGGAGAAAAAAGTAGATTAAGGGGAAACCCATATGATGATTAGTGTAAACGTGCGTAGTGTAATATTACAATTAAGACAACAATTTTAAATTTATAATCAAGTTATTTTAAATACATTGTAAATTCATAATTTTATTATTATTGTTATGTGATAATCATGTAATGTAAAGAAGAATATAACCTTCAAGAAAAGAGCATATTCCCTTTTAAAAGGCCGGCAGCACACCTGCAATGCCGTTGGTGTTGTGGGTGACCATGGGCGGCGATAATCACTTACCATCAGGTGAGCCGCATGCTCGTTTGCCCCCTGTGTTGTAAAAAATAATAATAATAATGCACAATCCCCTCTCAAGAAGAAACATTATAAAAAACCTAATTCCAGCTGTGGGATTTCAAGAGATTGTAAAATTAAGGCGATTTACGTGTAATGAATAGGTAGTGAGAAAAATATATTGCTTTATCTATTCTATTGTTTCTACTATAACCACCGTTTGACATAAGATATTTGGTTATTTAATAAATAGAAATATTTTTAACAACGTTTTTTTTTATTTCGTACATATATAATTAAAATTAAAAACTTTACTCTATAAAGATAGTATATACAAAAAATACAGTAAATACATGTTTCCCTAAAATACAGTCATTCTTTATACAATAATATAGCTCGTAATTTCTTTTAATAACAGTCTTAAATATTTTTCTCTATTTTCATCAAAATCGTTCAGCCGTTCTGAAGTTATAAATTATTTAACTGGCACAACTTTCTTTTATTTATAGACATTATTGCGTACTTTTAACGCGTTCTAAAAATTATTAACGAATGCAGTAAACTGACGAAAGAATGCTCATAGCACGGCTACACAAAACTTGGAGAATTAGGAAAAGGATAGAGACGTTCACTTATTTCGACCAAAGCAATAGCTAGAGAAAATGACTGAAAGCTTTATATTCAGCTTTATTTAAATAATATAGCTGAATAAATACAATTAGTAATATTTGCAGTGTAATACAGTCGAAAATGGGGTAGCCTATGGCTGATCATAAGATTGCTCGCGATCCTATCCTTCACTTTCTCGAATGCTTCCTTCTCTTTCAAAGGATCTACATAAAAGCTATACTGGAACATCAAATTACTTTCAAATTTACAAAATACTATAGATGTTGAAATACATTATGGAAATTGGAAAAATAATATTATCCGAGCACTGGACAAAAGAAAAATAAATGTGGAATAAAAACTCACATACATGTCGACCAGTATTGTTTGTCACATATAACAAGGTAATTCAACGAAACATATGGACCATTTCTCGCGACAAATGAGGAAAACAGACTAATAAGTAACACAGAAAATGTATTCGATGTAGCATTTATAGAAAACAAAAACAATAATAAATTTATTTTCATGTTATATACTAGTATTTGGTCACTTAGGTTGACTATGAAATCACTTTAATATGTACTAAACCAATCGCTCTAATCATTTTTTATCATACATATGTATATACATACATGACTGACACGTCTTTCTCCCGTTAGGGTAGGCAGAAATAATAGAATGCCAAATGCTTCGATTCAAACAAACCAATTTTTAATCATAATATATTAACTATTAATGTGACAAAATTCAAGTATTTAATTATTTCTTCTTGTAGTTTCATCAAGTACCATCCATAATCTTAAAAGTTTTGTTAAAAAATGAGATCATCATCATCATCGTATAAGCCGTTTTCTGTCCATCGCTGAACATAGGACACTCTCGAAGGCTACAAAGAAAAGTTCCGAGCCACTTGCATTCGTTGACACCCTGAAATGCAATTCAACTGGTTAAACCATCTAATGTTTGCCTGTACGGTAGCCACTAAAGAATCTTTCTTCCCCATCAGTTGTCGGTTTTTGGGGCTATGTGACCAGTCCATTGCCACTTCAGCTTGCTTATCCTTCGGGCTTTATCGGTCACATTGGTTCTTCTACAGAAAAAAAAAAAAATTAAATACTCAATTTATATGTTTTTGTTCTTTCATATGCATTTATAAAGTTTTTTATATTGATTCAATCTAGATGTCTCGAATTATTTACTAGTTCAATCTCACGGTTTTACCCACATAAATCAATACATAAATAATCCATGTGCTAAGTTAAGATATAAGCTGTCCGTGTACCAAATTTCATTCAAATCCCTTTAGTAGTTTTTTTTATACGACTTAGAATGGCAAACAAGCTGACGGCCCACCTGATGGAAAGTGGTAACCGTCGCCTGTAGACTTGAGCAGTACCATGGACATTACAGTACACACACATACTGTTTCGCCCATGATACCCCCCATGCGTTGCCATTCCTGAGGACTCAGGTGTTATTCCTTTGTACCCTGTAAATTCACGCCATATCCCACCCTTCAAACAGAAACACAGCTATGCAAACACAACTGCTTCACGGTTGAAACACGAATGAGACAGAGGTACTCAAGCAATCGACTTTTGTACAAAGTCTCCCTTTGGTAGTTTTTACGTGAAAGAGAAACAAACATCCATCCATCTATCCATCGTTACTAACTTTCACATTTATAATTATATTTCGCATTAATAGGATCGTTGACGTTATATTATTGGTTTTATCATGATTGAGACTATCTTAGACTCAATTAGAGACACAATTTTTCTATCTTCGCTCCAACTCTCTTTTCCTTGTAATTGTGATAGATTTAACATAATACATCTACAGATATAAATAGTGTACCTAATTATATATCATTCATCTTTATATGTACTTATTTATACACACAATGAAAACAAGGGCGGCCGTGAGTCTTCACTTCGACTTTTCCGTTCAAACCCGGATCCATTTCCTCAAAATAACAACTGAAGGCGGAAGCCACGCCAGTTTTCTATGAATTTTTCTATATTGACCGAAGACCTATCTCGGCCCTTTTTTTTATTTAGCCCCAAGAAGTAACAAAATTGACATGTCACACACATGTGGGTATCAAGTTCCAAGAAGCGCAAGATTGTGTTATCTTCCATTCACTATTAATGATAAGTTGTGATATTTCAACGTTTCATGTTCTCGAGAGGAAATGACTCGTCGGAGACCGACGTTTCTATAAAATTAACATGATATATATAATATATAGATGAATACAAGCTTATTCACTATATTATACTATATATATATATATATATATATATATATATATATATATATATATATATATATATATATATATATATATATATATATATATATATATATATATATAGCTCTCGATTTAAATCTGCAATTTTATATTTTAGGCACTTGGTTTTGTAGTTTTATTTTAGTAGTACCTACATAAACAGGTTTTTTTAACTTTTCTCTATTTTCTGTTTCTATTTTATTACTGTGTTAATAAAGCAAGATATTAAAGAAAAAAAATAAACTCCGTCTAGGAGAGTTAAAAGGTTAAAAAAGTTGAATATTTGAAACTTTAATGGATGAATTGATTTAAATATATACAGAGATATCACATTATAGAAATATAATACGTTATAACAAATTATAGATATGTTAAATAACTATATTTTGTTCTCATCGTCATAACACAAAATAATACGGGTAGCTAGCCATGTAATAGCAAATCGTACGTTCTTCCGTACTTCCGGACAGTAGTTAATATCCGTTCGAATATAGTCAACAAACGACTACTAAGAACAAACAGATCCGAACGTGGCCTTCGCCTAACTTACTTCGTCTAATTGTTTGTTGGCCTCAACTTTGTTATAAATGGTTCTTGATATAATTTACTGGTAATCTGTGATAGAAAGTCGTGTGATATCCAACTGTGTTGAATTACACCAAACTGTGATATAAGGTTTAATGTGTTGCTAATGGTTAGATAAATCATCTTTTTAGTTTTTTTTTTCTATATTATTTTCGGAGTACACTTCAATGTTGGTTAAGGAACTATCTATACTAAAAAAAACTTTTTTTGTGCCTTACATATTTTTAATTATGGAATGGTTTATACGTTTGTTTATGCTGGTAGAATACTAGTAAAAATCAAAGACATATGAAGATTAATTCAGATCATGAAATAAATATCGAATTGACATGTATATATATTTTTAGCAACAAAGCTGTTTAATATTATTATAAAAAAAACCGAATATTATTTGATATTACTGAAATACAATATTATAATAATTTTATCATAATCCCTCTGGATTATGATTAATTTAATATTTTAATTATGAATAAAAGTATGCGTGTAAATTATTAACCGCAAACTTTCGACCACATTTTGAATTGTGGATTTTATTATGGCTAATTTCATTCGTATTGCGTATTATTTTACAAATATTTTTAAAATACCTCCAAAAAAGAAACTCCCAATTCATCTATATTAAATTTTTCATTCACTTGTGCTTTAATTTTTCACACAAAATTTTATATAATTTAAAATCAATTCAAAACCTTGCACTTTTTCATATTTTTTTTTTAAATTAATATTACTAAGTTCCAGGAACAGTCTCCAAAAACTTTAATAATTTGCTTCAACTGTATTGATATTGCTTTATTTATTAAAAAAATTTTTTTAAATATCATTCTTTATTTATTCTTTATTAACCACATTACAAAAAAAGTTAGTTTACAGTGTAATTAGTAACAGCTTGAATAATTAGTAACAGATATATATATATATATATATATATATATATATATATATATATATATATATATATATATATATATATATATATATGTACAATAGAACAATAGAAATGATTACATTACATTGTGGTTATATAATTATAAATATTTTACTGAACTGATGATAAAATATTATTTTATTATTAAGCACCATATAAAAATTTCTGTCTTTCTATTCTTGTAAGTATAATTATATGACTTGTTATTTGATTTGAATTATTTTGTTTAATCTCGCTACTATTAATATGCATGCGACTGCCAACACGTTAGTATGTACATGGTCAATCTTCGAATATTGACAATCATACATGAATAAAAAAATAGAGATTTATATAGAACTTATTTTGTAAATAATATTTTATCAATAACCAAAAATTAACAAAAACAAACAAACATACATACACAATAATATTATAGTTATCAAAAGAAAAAGATAATGAATTTCTCTTGCAGCTTCTTCATAAAAAAAAAAAACATTTTTTTTTATTATCTTTGAATGAATGAATGAACAATTGTCAAAATTCAGAATTGGCGACATAATTGACCACAGAAAATCTACAGACTAATCGGGAATCTCCTTTTAGAAACCGCATAAAAATTAATCCTATTTCAAAACTAGACTGCAAACCGTCAGAGCTATATTATCATTCTCTCATGAAATTGATGTGCATATAAACCGTTACGTTATCCAATTAAGCTGGGAGCAACGAACACGGCATCAATATCCGGCACAGAATGATCTAATACGTGCCAAGTGGAGTACCGGTCTAGCAACGTAAATACGACTGATTGCTTCGACCCCTGATATAAAGTCTAAGTTAGTAACGTTCTACATTTAGGCCTAGACTT